CCCCCAGATGGAGTCGGTCCCGCTCCCTTCTGCGTTCCCCAAGCACGCGCAGGTCTTGTGAGCACCGCTGTGTGCATAATTGGGGAATGATTAATGCCCTCATGCGGTTATGCTTGCCTCCAGTTTGGGGCCTGTGGGCCCCCCTACTGCGTGTTATAAACATGCTGGTCTTTCCAACCTGCTCTTCACCAGAACTGTTTTCCGTCCTTCCTGTTAGACTGGCCCCAAGGGCAGAGCTGCGTGGATTATTCTCTGGGCTCTCGCCAGCTGGCTCTCAGGTAGGACTGGCCAGTGGGAGCCACCAACAGGAGGCTGGAGGGTCAAGGAGAAAAGTCGGCCATTCCTTCCCACCTTTCCTCCTGCTCTCGCTTGATCTTGAAGGCACGGGCAGCATCCCCTGTACGACTCGCTGATTTGACTCCCTCGCCCTGAGCCTTCGGCCCTCGTGGTGGTCACAGCTTCTTACTGTTGTGAGAGCCCGAACACCTCCGTGTCTCCTGTCACCTCCATGTGGAGTTGTTTCCCTTCACCCAACCCAAACCCCGAATCTAACCGAAATTTCTGTAAGTAGTCCCTTCAATAAAAGTTATTCTGCTGAGCCCGGCTAGTGTGGCTCAGTGATTGAGCATTGACTATGAACCAGGAGGTCAAAGTTTGATTCCTGGTCAGGGCCCATGCCCGGGTTGTGGGCTTGATCCCCACTAGGGCAGCGTTTGGGAGGCAGCCCATCCATGATTCTCCTCATCATTGATGTTTCTGTCTCTCCTCTCTTCTTCTCTAAAATCAATAAAAATATATATTTTTAAAAATCTCTTTTGTTGAAACATCTGAGTGGACATGGGTTCTCGTTAGGAGAGATGGAGAGATTGAAGAGCCTGGCAGCCATCCTAGAACACACATTTTTTCTTTATTGTGCAGCAGGCCCTGGATATTCTCAGATTTTATGCCTGAGGCTGTGACTACTTACAAGGGAATTGTAGAGTGACTTACAAGTTTCCTGAGCAGGCATTTGAGTTACTGCGAGGCCAGAGTTTGGGAATGGAACATGCTATGCATGTTCTTCACTTCTCCATTGCACTTTATTTATTCATACACTACAGGACAATGGTGTTCAAATTTTGGAATTTTTAAGAAAATTCTTAAAAATTGAGCCTCACATGTGAATGAGATAAAAGTCACATGCAGGTTAGGGGAGCCTTCTTGCTCATCTTTGAGGCAAACGGTGGGACACCCGTGCAGACCCCCAGCTCCTGGGAACACAATTTTAAAACACAGCTTTGGAGCGTCACAGAGTCTAGAAGAGATGTCCTTCAGAAGTGTCCAGTGCCCTGACCGGGAATCGAACCTGCGACCTCTGGGCCAAAATTAGGTCAATATTCACTTATATTACTCCTAATAATTTTACTATTTTATTTTTAAGATTAAGTCTTCAATACTCTAGACATTATTTTGAGAAGCTCTAAATTGATTTCTCCCCCAAATAGCTAGCCAATTTTATTTTTACATCCTTACTGAACACACATCTTTCCCCCACTAATCCTTTTAAAAAAAGTATTTTATCGATTTTTTACAGAAAGGAAGGGAGAGGGATAGAGAGTTAGAAACATCGATCAGCTGCCTCCTGCACACCCCCTACTAGGGATGTGCCTGCAACCAAGGTACATGCCCTTGACCAGAATCAAACCTGGGACCCTTGAGTCCGCAGGCCGATGCTCTATTCATTGAGCCAAACCGGTTAGGGCCCCACTAATCCTTAATGAACAGCGGATCATGTATTAGGTCCATCTATGCACTAGGCCAGTGATGGCAAACCTATGGCAGAGGTGACATGCGAACTCATTTTTTTGGTTGATTTTTCTTTGTTAAATGGCATTTAAATATATAAAATAAATATCAAAAATGTAAGTCTTTGTTTTACTATGGTTGCAAATATCAAAAAATTTCTCTATGTGACACGGCCCCAGAGTTAAGTTAGGGTTTTTCAAAATGCTGACATGCCAAGCTCAAAAGGTTCACCATCACTGCCCTAGGCCATAGTTATTTCTAGGTCCTTCATTTTCTTCTTTTCATCCTCCTTTAGTTACTGTGCCAATGGGATATCCTTTTTAATAGCAATAGGATAGCTCTTTGCCAGAATTCACTTGTTCAAAATATTTTTAATATTTATACTTTCAGGTGAAATTTATTATCTATTTTTAATTTCTTTTTTTCTGGTTATAAAAGTAATGCATTATGAAGAAAAATTTGTAGAAATTTTGAAAAAAAATGTGAATGTAAAGAAGGAAAAAACATTTTGGATTATAACTTTCCATCTTCTCTCTGTGTGTTACTAAACATATTGTTTGATAATCTGTTGTTTAATCATCATCTATGAGCATTTTGCCATGTATTAAATATTCCTTTGAAATCTGATTTTAATGACACATTAGCCAAGGCCTCTGCAAGGGTCCACCATAGTCGTCTCAGAGCCTTCCTAGACTCAGTCACATCCTGACTGTTATAAACAAGCCTTGAAGTCACCAATTGAGGTCACATAGATCACACCGCATGGCAGCCACTGACATCGGCCCCTGGAACGTGCACTTGGCTTTGATCGTAGCTCACTGGGTGAAAAATAGCTCCGCAGCATTTGCCACCTACAGCTCCTCTGTGAGGCCTGTGGAAAGCTGACCAGGTGGCTCAGGAAGAGGGGACGATGTGGGCCACCCACACGAGGACTGGGTTTGAACTGATTTAGTTGTGAGCGATCCCAATGAAAGGGCGAGGGCTATGCCCTCCATCTTGCCCCGTATCCTCCATGTTGGGGCAGCAGCCATGTGCTCAGGAAAGTACCTTCTTCCCGGAAGCCCAGGCCTCTGCTGGCCACGCCCGGAATCTTTTCCCACGGGCGGTCTCTCTCGCCGTGGCATCGGTGGAGGCTGGGAGCCAGACCTGCGTCTGTGATAAGACTCTTTGCTTTTGCATCGGACTCGCTGGCTCCCTGGTGTGGTCTATTGGGGATCTTGAAATCTGGGCATAACACCCAGCACCACCTTGCACAATCTTACTTTTGTGTTTAAGTCATTAACTTAAGTCATAGAAATCATTTACACTCGCCTTAGGAAAGATTAGATAACTCTCGTGAAAACAAAGCTTAGCTGTGATTTTTAAAAAGATGTAGGGGAGGAGTCTTTAACATTTGTGATCGAATATGTAAAACTCCGAGTTTTTCTTAAGATAGAGTGCAAGTTTACTAAATTATATAAACTAGGGGGAGTTGCATGTGGCATAGAGGACCACAGGTAGCCGAGGTGTCTAAATCGAATGGACATTTCTAGAGCAAGTCATGCAGATATATTTACAGTCACTTTGCAAGGTGTGGGACTATAAGCTTCTCTCTCACAAGTTTTCACTGGACCTGAGTCATTTTCTTTAGCCTATCACCCCCCACCACACACGCGCACACACACAGTGTATATATCTTAAACTTCATACAATTCGAGCTATCTTTTCCCCCACTTATCTTTTCCCAGACAGTATGAAGTATAATACAAGCCTGGAAGTACATGGATCCTTAGGATCTGAGTTTTCCCCTAATTCGGGTGAATTGAAGGCTGGAATCCGGGAGCAAAGAGGTCAGGGAAGGGCCAGTCCCGGCCCTTCATCTGAACATTCTTAGTAAACTCCCCGCCCAGTGCCTGCTGGGTGGGCGTACAGCTCTGAGCTGTTGATATGAAGGTTACCCTTGGGAGCAGGCACATTATCAATGAGTCATTTCCTTCCATTCTTAAGCTTTCCTGAATATTTTCTTGTTTAGCGATCTATGGAAGACCTTAGAATCAACTTATTGTTGGATCCTCCCTGATGACGCCCATTTGTAAAATCATTCTATTGCATACTTTCTTATCTCAAACGTTACATCCTGATTGCTTATTCCTTTTGTGTATTTTGTTTTGGAATGTTTGCCTAGCCTTATGTTCAGAACTGTTAACACTTTCATAATCTGTCTTTTGGATACCACGTGACCAATGTGAAAAGGAAATTAAACAGGGAATAGTGTACTAAGGGCTTTTAATTTCTTAAGCATTCAAAATACAACTTTTAGAGGCTTCCCTAAAATTTGTGATACACAAAAATCCATGTTTTCTAAACCACACCCGTTGTATCTCCACGCCTCACATCACCAAGCCATTCTGGTGAAACCTTAGGCCACAGGAGAGTGGACAGGCGAGAGGAGAGCACATCTCATTATGCTGCGTTTTTTGTTTGTTTTTTTAAATATATTTTATTGATTTTATTGATTTTACAGAGAGGAAGGGAGAGAGATAGAGAGCTAGAAACATCGATGAGAGAGAAACATCGATCAGCCGCCTCCTGCACATCCCCCACTGGGGATATGCCCGCAACCCAGGTACATGACCTTGACCGGAATCGAACCCGGGACCCCTCAGTCCGCAGGCCGACGCTCTATCCACTGAGCCAAACCGGTTTCGGCTATGCTGCGTTTTTAACTCATTAAGCGACTTCCTCCGCGAAAACTCTCTGTGTTGGATTAGGAATGTTGCCGAGGCATTTCATCTGCTTGAGTCCTCAAAGACAAGACTATGAAACTGACCTTTTTAAAAAGGTTAAAGTTCCAGAAAAGCTTTCCATGTCGAATTCTGCTAGTGAAAGGGAACATACCAAGCCTCGACCACGTGGGCTTTTCCCCGAGAGCCTCTGGGAGAGAACCTCTCTCCTGCCAATCACCCCGCGCCTGCTCTCCGCCCCCGCCTCCGCCCCTCCACCGCCCAGACCCCGCCCATAGGCCGCCCTAGACCCCGCCCATCCCTGCCCCCAGCCTTCGCCCCGCCCCCTGGCCGTCCGAGACCACGCCCCGCTCCAGGTCCCGCTTCGCCCCGCCCCCCGGCCACCCAGTCCCCGCCCCCGCCCCCTCCTCCCGCCCCCACCCTCTCTCACGCAGCTTTTCTCGCCCCGCCCTTAGCGCGGCCTCACGCGAGATCCCCGAGGCCGCTCTGCCCCTGGAGAACTGTCATCTGCTTCCGGGGCGCGGGGCGGCCGGGGCGGCGGGGGCGGGCCCGACGGGGCGGAGGAGCCTGTGGGAGCGCCGCCCCGGCCGTGTGGTCGCTGGTGTTTTGGAGCTCAGGCTGCGGGAGATGTCGGGCCTCGCGTCAAGGTGAGCGGGCGGCGGGCGGCGGGCGGCGCGCTCGCGGGAGGAACGTGTCGGCCTGGGCCCTGCGGCCTGAGGTTCCGAGTCCCCCGCGGGGACGCCACTCGGCCCCGTCCCGTCGCGGGCGCCCCGGCCGCCTTCGCGCCCCTGGCCCCTTGTTGAGGCATCACCTGGACCCGGCCCTGAGCCTGCAGCACCTCCTTCCCTGGCCCGCGCTCCTCCCTGTCCGAACATGTCCGCCCGGAGGAACGGGGCCGGGGCGCGCAGGCCGCACTCGCGCGTGCTTGGCCGGGGCGCCCCGGGCGCGAGGCGGGACTTGGCTCAGCAGCCGGTGGTTCCGGGCGCCCGCCGGTGCCGGGAGCCCGGGGGGCGGGGGGGCGGGCAGGCGTCTCAGCGGGGGGGCTGCGCCCTCCGGCCCCGCTCCCCCGGGAGAACCGGCTCGTGGACCGGACAGCGGAGCTCGGAGCTCGGGTTCTTCGGCCTTGGCGCCGCCCGGGGCCGGGCGGGGGCGTGCTCTTGGCCTGGGGAAGGGCGTTGCTCTGCAACATTTGTTGGAGGATGCCCGAGGAACTGCGCTCTTGGTGGTTAAATGCCCTGAAATCAGCGGCCCCGCCTCCGAGCCGCTCGCAGCGGGTTGGCGGCTCTGAGCCTCCAGCCCGTGCTGTCCGCGCTGACCCCCCTGCACTTGCCGGCTAACGGGGGGGGGCGGACTGTTCTTGACAAAGTGAACGGCCTGGGAGGGAGTTTGTCCTTCCCAGCGGTCAGGTGGGCTGTGTCCCACCCTCATGTCAGGGCAGACTGGCCGGGTGAGCTCTGGGCAGTGGGAGGGCTCCGGGTGGGGCCCTAGCAGAGCGGAGGCCGGAGCCCAAGGCCACATCCTGACCCCCAGATGCATTCAGAGCGGGGGCCACAGGCGCGCTCCCCAGAGGAGCCAGGGCTCTGCTGTGGTTGGGTGGTTTCCCGCGACCTCCGGCCTCCCCGATGCCCTGGGGTCTCCCCAATGCCCGGGGGTCTCCCCGATGCCCTGGGGTCTCCCCGATGCCCTGGGGGTCTCCCCGATGCCGGGGGCCTCCCCGATGCCCAGGGGCCGCCCTGATGCCCGGGGGCCTCCGGATTTCCTACCCCACTGCCCTGCTGGGGGAGCCTTGGTGCCACTTCAGCCCTGGGACATTCCTGGTCTTGTTCCCAAATAAAGCACCTCTCTCTGATGATAACTTCAGCTTTTCTTTCTGTAAACCTTGGTGTATTCTGAGCACCCGTGCTAGTCAGACCATCTCGCGTTGCAACCTTTACTTGGCACCCGCACTTTGAGTTCCTGGGCACCTTCCTCCTAGATTCCCGAAGCGGTGGGAGCTCTCCCACATCCCCACTTCTGGTCTCTTCCTGCCGATTGGGCTCAGGCAGTGCTCGCAAATGTGTCACTAGTTCCCGGTTACAGAAACCTGGCTGCTGGCCGTGCCTCTTCCCGTGCGGAGTCCGCACCCACCGCCTGCCTTAGCAACTTGCTCACGTGTCCTTTGGCGCCTGCCGGTCCTCTGCTCGGAAGCTCGCGGAGAGGCGCGCTCCTGCCTTTGGAATGAGCTAGGACGTCCCCGCCTGGGTTTCAAGATTTGGCCCCAGTTTGCTTCATGAATTCAGCACTTACTGATACGTTCTTGTTTCTGAGAGGCACTGTTCTGGGTTCTGTTGCTATCCCCTGGCCCACCTGGATTACTGGATATTCTTTTGTTGTTGTTAATCCTCACCCAAGGATATTTTTTTCATTGATTTTTTGGGGGGGGGCGGGGGAGCATGGGAGGGAGGGGTAAAGACAGAGAAACATCAATGTGGGAGAGACACACTGACTGGTTGCCTCCTGCATGCGCCCCCACCAGGGCAATGGAGGTGCGTGCCCTTGACCGGAATTGACCCGGTGCCGCCAGGACTTGTATGCACATTAGAATCACCTGGAGACTTGCACGCAGCCAAGACCAGTGAAGCCATACACTCTGGAGGTGGGCACAGGCAGAGGTGTTTGGTCCCAAAGTGCTGACAAGTTGTCATTAAAGTCAGTGCTTTTAAAGACGTGTCATTCCCAGAGTTCAGGCTGAAGTGACAGACCCTAGCCTCTCTTAGGACGTTTTCTAAGTAGGGTTTTCATATGGACATTTAAAATCTGAACTACATTTACCCGGGAGCACCATTTCTAACGTTTTTAAAAACTTAACTCTATCTTTTTGGAACCTGTTTTAACCAGCAGAAAATGTAAGTGCTCTCTTCCTTAAGTCCGAACAACTTTGAATTCCTTAATGAGGCCAGTACCCAAATGCCCGCGCAAGGTTAAAGATGTGCTGCCAGATTGGCAAGTTTTATGTAACAGTTCAAATACTTCCTGCAGCACGGAGAGTAAACAGCGAGAGCAGGTCTAGCGTCAAGTCCCAGTTTTATTTGTGAGACAGAATTTTATTTCATTCATAGGAAGTTAATAAAAACCTACAAATGCAAGTGTAACTCACTGAGCGCTGCATTCGTAGGTCACAGAAACCTCTGGACCAAAGCAGAAAGCAAACAAACCAAACTACCACTAAGTTCCTCACCAGATTTTATATCATCATATTACTTCTCTTCCGATTCATACTCGTATTCAAGGATTCAGAGTCCCCAAATAACTCTGAGTTTATGGTCTTCTCCTTCCTTCCCGTTGGCTCCAAACCTGGCACGTGGTTGAGGGGAAGCAGACATACATATCCCAGCCTTCATCACTCATCCAGGGGCAGCTCCACACCTTGGCGTCCACGGCTGTAGTACAAAGGAGAAATGGTAACCCCCTAAGAGACCCAGTGCTGGTCCCAGGCCCCACAGACCCCACATCCCCACCTTGCCCCGCACAAGAGAGCGTGCTCATGCCCTTTGGGGATCTGTGAGTGCGTGGACATTGTCCTCTAGAGTCACTGGGACAAGTTCTGTTTTCACACTCATTGATGGTAAGTGTGCCTGCCTTCTCCACCTCCAGTTGTACGGCCCATGGTCTTCGGTCGGGGACTTGCCGCAGGTGGTCTGCGTCCGCTCATCCTACTGGCCCTGGCCCAGTGGGTGCCCCGAGACACCACATCCACCACCTTGAGGTGGGGACCATGCGAGAGTGGTAGGGTAGGGTCCAGCCTTGTGCTTTGGCAAAGTTCAAAAAGGCAGGGTCCTTCACTTTTAGTTCCTCTGGTATTTCTAGCCCCTCACAGCTCCTAACACAGCTACAAAGAGCAAACAGACTGACGTGCAGGTCGGGTTCCTTCTGTGATGCCTGCTGTTGGGCCTCTGTGCAGTGTGTCTCTGGGAATGACACTTGACCTAGGGCAGAAAAGTAATTTTTGATTAAAGAATTGGCACTGTTTTCTTAGCTGTGCAGGAGCGAACCCTCACGCCTCCAGGCTCCCTCTCACTCGTTCTGTCTTTCTGATGAACGAGTCAGTATTTTCGTGATGATGAAATGTTCGCTGCTGGACATCTGGGCCTATCTGGATGCAGAGGACATTTTTCCGAACCAGCTGAACAGTGTGTCCTAGTGGATGAGTTCCATCTTGGTTTCGTTTAAAGTCCAGCTGCTCTCTCCACCACTGCAGCCACACAGACTCCTTTCACTGCCCAGGCATCCCAGGCATCCCACCTCTTCTCCCCTCTTGCCGGCAGCCTCTGGTCTTTTTCTGTCGCCGTAGTGGCAGTAAAGCGGGACATACAATACAGTGCGCATCTTTTCAGAAAGACTTCTTCTGCTTAGCAGTACGAATTTAAGGTTCCTCTGTGCCTTTTTGTGGAATGGCAGTTTGTTTATCCTTTTATCTACTGAAGGACCTCTGGTTACATCCGTGCTTAGGCTCTTGTGAATAAAGCTACCATAAACACTTAGGCGCTGGTTTTATTGTGAAAATGTTACCAACTCATCTGGGTAAATACAGGGAGTGGAATTGCTGGATCGTATGGTGGAGTATGTTTAGCTTTGTAGAAACTGCCAAACTGTCTTACAAAGTGGCCATACATTTGTTTCTACCATCAATGAATGAGGCTTAAGTCTTTTTTTATTTTTTATTGAATTTATTGGGGTGACATTGCTTTTTATATAATTTATATAATTTATTGGGGTGACATAGGCTTCAGGTGTACAATTCTTTAATACATCATCTGTATATTGTACTGTGTGTTCACCATCCCAAGTCCCAAGTCAGGTCCACTTCGGTCACATTTACCCCCCCCGTTTGCCTTCTTCTACCTAAATCTTTAAAAAAAAACAAAACACTTTTTGTTTTAATACGTTTCAGAAGTGACTAAAGCAATGTGTGTAGTATTTATACATTGAAAGGTGACTTCTCACATTATTGTGTTCATTGTACTCTACGTTTGTTTCAGGTTTAACTCATTCAAAAGGACTAATGTCATCCTGCAACATTTGGTAAGTTTGGACTTGGCTTTGCTGGCATTATTAGATATGAGGTGTAACTTAGAATGCCATTGTTCGGGCAGAAGAGAAGTACTGGCAGGTGCCTTTGACCTTGGTACACCCTGGTTCCCAATCATACAGTGTCAAGATGTGACCAACATAGCTTGCAGGAGGTGGCCTGAGGCAGGCTGTGGATAAGAGCACGGGTCTTCGCGTTGGAATGCCTGGGTTTCATGGGCCCCCACTTAATCGTGGGCAGAGCACTTGGTCTCTCAGCCTCCTCTTGACCATATATAAACTGAGGATAATGGTATCCACCGTAGCGTGCTTATGGATAATAAATACTATACTTCATTTGAAAAACTAGCCTAATGCTTGGCATATAATGAACCAGTAGTTTTCCGATTTTTAAAAAGACAGGAACTTTTCAAGCAGAAAAAAAATCACTCATTTCTTTATATCATTCTAGTGGCATTAACGGTAGAAGATTCTGTAATATTCTTTGCTCAAAGTCTCACCCTCTGTAACTGTCCGCCAAAAATGCTTGGCCCAAGTGCTTGAAGATCCATGCTTAAAGATATCCCTGCATCATTGTAATAGCAGAAGGTGGAAATTACCCAATGCTTTTCAGTATGGGACTGAGAAATTGACATGTAAGACTGCATAACTGTCAAAAATAAATAGGCATCCTGTGCAGCCAAGTCCAACATGAAATATACAACATGATTTTATAAAGGAGGACTTAAACATTGTGTGAGCCCTGGCTGGTGTGGCTCAGTGGATAGAGCAGCGGCCTGCGGACTGAAGGGTCCCAGGTTCGATTCCAGTCAAGGGCACATGCTCAGGTTTACAGGCTCGATCCCCAGTAGGGGGTGTTCAGGAGGCAGCCAATCAGTGATTCTCTCTCATCACTGATGTTTCTCTCCCTCTCCCTTCCTCTCTGAAATCAATAAAAATATATTTTAAAAAGAGATATTGCCTAATACTGTCAAAATATGGGTTTCTGGGTTTTATTAGATTTTTGTTAGTAAGGATTCATTCTCCACTTAAAACTTTCCAGTTTAAGCTGACTCTCAGTTTCATATTGCACTTTGTTCCCATGTGAAGTTTCAAGCACTGTCCTTAAAGGAATGTATGAAGTGGGCGGTGCCATTAGCCTTGATAGTTGTGTGTAGCGGAGACCTGGGAATTGCTATGTAGTTTGAAACGTTAATTCCAGGTGTTACATTAGTTAGTCCTCTATCACATGAGCAGTGAGACCTGGTGATTAAGTCACGGTGTGTGAGGCCCTTATGTGAGCACATGGGCAAGTTCTTCATAACTATGACATGTGAGCCTGTCATTTTATAATCTGGCTTCACACTGCTCCTTCCTGTTTTCCCAGCACTCATTTCTTCAACCAGCCTTTATTCTGCACAGGTTTATTTTCAGTGAATATTTTCAAATAATAATTGCTACGTTTTTGCATGTACTATTCTGTAGCATTCTCACCCCCCACCCCTTTTTTCTTAGCATATATGAAGGCCCAGCTCAAATAACAACTTTTTCCAAGTTGTTGGTAGCCACTGTAGTCTGAATTATTTGCCCTCTGTATTCATCTTTGCTTTATAAGTAGCTAATATATTGGTTGGTATACAGTAATAAAAGATTAAAGAATATTTCATCGTCCAAGTTGACTCATTTTACGTAGAAGTAAAATTTAAAAGATGTAAGAGGTAGGTATAGTTGTTTTAATTTTAGCAATCTTTGTCAGATGTGCTCAGTTCCCCGTGTGATCGGTCACCTTAGCACTGTGTGAAGGCTTTGATTTGCTGTAGCTGTTTCGATGTAAAGCTCCATGTGCTTACACAGAGGCTGTCCGCCCACACGGATGCGGCGGGAGAGGTGCTGCTGGAGAGGAGGGGCTGCGCAGGGGTGATCACCCTGAACAGACCCAAGGCCCTCAACGCACTGAACCTGAGCATGATCCGGCAGATCTACCCACAGCTAAAGGTCGGTCATTTTCTTACAGCCACTGTATCGATTGCTTTAAAAGTGCACCTTATAGTACATTTCTGGCATTCTTTCCCATGGAGTCATTGGACTGCCTGGGGTCAGCGCCCAAGCCCATCGACTCCTAGCTTCAGTGCTGGCCCTGCGTTCGCCTGAAGCACCCAGGCCGGGAGGGCGTTGCCCCAGGAGAGCCCCTCCTCTTCTGTGGCTCTAAGTCTCTTCTTCGTCCTGCCGCTCTTTCTTCCTCCCCCCTTTTACCCCGTGATCCTGGGTCTGCCTCGTAGGGCCCGTATGAAGGTACAGATCTACTCTGCTTCCACATGACAGCAGCCTTTTGATTTGAAGACTACTGTTTCTAACTGCGTGGCCAGCCTTTACTGGGGAAGGTCATACATAAGCTTTTCTATTCTAAGTGAACTGCGGGTGCAGGGAAATCATCACTAAAGTCGCACCGCTTGTGCTTGAAACCTGGGCTTCTGTTTACTAACTGTGTCGATGGAGAGTGCCAGTCGTGTGTACCTTCCTCTGCTCAGCTGTGAAGTAGGGTGCTCGCACCTCAGGATTGCTGTGGAGAGAAGCCAAGCAATGTACCTTGCTTGTACAGTCAGCCACATGGGGTTCCACAAATGCTAGCTCTCCCTGGCCACCTGTTCTTCATTCTTCATTTGACGAGACTCTTCCATTTTGCTGTCTGTTGGAATACCTTGTAATGTGTTCTTAAATGTGACACAGAAATAAGCCAGTGTTCCAGGTCAGAGTGGACAGAGTGGAAGCAAGAAGAGAATTCCTTGTAGAACACCACGTTTCCACTAACTGTCCAGCTCCGCCTCTGCCTTGGGCATTTGTACTTTTATTCTCAGGTGTAGAATGTATAGAGCCTCTGTTAATTTTTCTGTCTTGTTAACTAATATTTTATTGGTCCATTGTTCTAGTCTTTTGAGTTTACATTGGCTCTTGATTGTTTTATCCTACTTAATTTTTAGCTGGCCTTACCTGCCCCCACTTTCAGATTTGGTCTGTGTGTTTTCACTCTGTCACAAATTTGTCAGTAGGACGGAGCCCCATAGCAACACATTAGAAAGGTAATTGCTCTGTTATCAACAACCTTTGGATGGATTTGTTCACTAGATTACTAAACTAACGTAACATGTAGTAGTATTAAGCCTATATATATATAAAAAGCATAATATGCTAATTAGACCAGACTTCCTTCTGGGCCACCTTCTGGACTAAGTTGGGGCTGCGAGGGAAGCCCGGGTTCTGGGTGCCAGAGGGAAGCTGGTGCCAGCAGCCAGGGGAAGGAAGGCCTACTCTTGCACGAATTTTGTGCATCAGGCCTCTAGTGTGTGTGTGTGTGTGTGTGTGTGTGTGTGTGTATATTAATATATATATTTATATATTTTAACCTTTGTCTAAAAGTCATGGCAAAGATGTCAGATGCCATCATGAAAAGTTGGGATCCATTCTTCTAGATATACTTTATAAAGGTTCTGCTATATATCATGTATGGATATATACACAGGGTGGGGCAGAAGTAGTCTATCCATACACTGTATGCCTGTACACATGTAAGTGTGTGTGTCTGTGCAAGTGCATGCATCTTTAATGAGTTTGTGGTCGTAATGTGCTTATTCTGTCGTCTTTTTAGAAATGGGAACAAGATCCCGAAACCTTCCTGATCATCATAAAGGGCGCCGGGGAGAAGGCTTTCTGTGCTGGGGGAGACATCAGAGGTACCAGCCCCTCCTCGCCCTGAGTGCTCCCTCGACAGAACGGATAAAGTGCTAGCAAGCTTTCCTACTACTTCGTCACGTGTGTTACTTTTTAGAATTTTTTAAAAAGTTAATATATTCTCAGCTAGTTAACTTGTCAGTTTAAAGATGGGTGGAGCCTTATGTATTGATTTTTAGCTTCTTTAGACTATTTTTGCATAAAAGCCTACCTTGATATTGTTGTTTGGAAATACAGTACAAATTGTAGAATTATTCTAGTTTACATGAAATAAAACAGGGATTTCAATTCCAAGAAATTTAGCTTCTTGAAAGATCATAGTTTAGAACGATAAATGGGCACTCAGAAAAGTTTTTAAATGATATTGTGAACGTCACTTAATTATTTTATATGGAAGTAATTGATCAGAATAAGACTGGAAGGAGATGTCAGGTCTTTGAGGAAGAAGAGCTTCAGCATGCAGTGCAGGGTACCCTCCTTTCCGTTGAGAATGGCAAGGAGTGGTCAGCACTGAGCGGAGACGGTAGAGGAGTGTTTGGGGCATAAACCAGGGAAAGCTTCAGAATGACAAGAATGTTAAAACTGTCTTTTAATAGCCATGAAAAGAAGTCAAATTTGGAGCATTTTAAAGGAAGATGACATTAGAGTTAGTTTAAAACTATAAACAGTCAACAGGTTTTGTGTGACTTTCCCATAACAGAAGAAACATACCTAGCATACGTTTAATTTGTGTGCTAGTAGGTGAGTCTCATAGGCCTTGACGGCAGGAAGAGGCATGTGCGCTTGCAGTGTGCGTGAGAGAGAGAAGGATCTCATAGTGGTATTGACAGTGACTGCAGAAAACACAGTGGGTGTGAGCTTGGATGATAGGCAATTGCAATAGAAAGGAAACCACTGGTAGTGTTTATAATTCAGGCATTTACTGTGCACCTTTGTATTATGCCAGGCAGCAGTATGCCGTAGCAGCATCTTTGGGAAGATGTATTTCCTTTTGTATTATTAATAAATAAGGGCCTTACTATCTCATTTCCCTCTCTAGCTTCTCCTTTTATGTTTCTCCTTCAGTCTTTTAAAACGACTTCTTTCTTGATTTTGTTCTTTCTGGCCTGTGTGCCTTTGTAGGTACTCCTTCCTCTACTCAGAACTCTGCCACCCCCTCCCCCCATCACTTTCTAGGAAATCCCCATCTATTGTTCAAACTTGGCTCAGACTATGCCTTCTGGGAAGCCGTCTTTCCATGGCACCTCCTGCTCCCGCTCCTGCAGCACCTGCTTAGAGTGAGCATCGCACCAGCACTGTATTGTAGTGTCTTCTCTCTGGTCTGCACTCAGGGCAGACTCTTACACTGCTGTCTTCATAACTGCAGCGCCTAAAACAGCGCGTGGGACTCGGTGGATGCTCAGTGAATGTTTCGTGGGGGAGTGAAAGTGGCAGAAATATTGAATTAGATGGGATATATCTATATTTATTTCTGTGTGTGTATGTATAGTATACTTAAGATATATATTACCACCCTGTCAGGTAGCTTCTTGGTTTAGAGCATCGTCCCAATGCGCCAGGGTTGTGAGTTTGATCCTGGTCAGGACCACATACAAGAGTCAACCAATGAATGTACAAATAAGTGGAACAACAAATCCATGTGTGTTCTCTCTCTCTCTCTCTCTCTCTCTCTCTCTCTCTCTCTCTCTCTCCTCTTTCTCTCTTTCTCCCTTCCTCTCTTTCTCTCAAATCAATAACTTAAAAAAACATATATATTATCAAAAGAAATGTATGTCCACCAAATATTCACTCAGGTGCTACAGAAAACAATCAAAAGAAAGTGCATTTTGTAGCAATATATAACTTCTAAATTTAAGTGAAACATTTTGTAGGAAATTCTTAAGAATTTTTCCCTTGGAGTTGACACGGGACTATGGATCTGGGACTACCTATAACATGTCTGTGGCATGGTTAATTTCAAAATGTTAACAAATCATTTTAGAGTTTTCCCCAGGACTGAGTATTACAGTATTTTAAATTTATTTTATTTGATTCTATTGACTAGAAAACACTTTTTAAAAAATTTGTAATCTTTTTTCTTTCTTTCTTTTTTTTTGTAACAATCTCAGAAGTTGTAAAGGGAGACCGGAAGATAAGTCAGGATTTCTTCAGAGAAGAATATGTGCTAAACAATGCCATTGGTATGTGCTTTGCTGAGAGCTTTGAAAATGGAATCAACAAAAGCAGCATTAAAGTATGAATTATTAAAAATGTAATCAGTAGATAATCTTATTTAATCTTTTATATGCTATGTGTCAGTCATAAATAAATTTGATTAAACTATTCAGACTGCTCATTCCGAAACCACACTTCCATATTAGTAGGCTGTACTCACCTATTTGTCATTCAGTTGATATGAAAACATGATTCTGATCATAGGGCTGGCTTTCTTGGAAAACAAAAGACGTGAGTCCCAGTATTCTCTGTACAAAGAGGTATCATTTGCTAAGTCTTGAAGAATTTGGGATGAAACGTCTCTAGTTGATGTTCCAGAGCCTGGGTTTAGATGTTAAACTACAGGGAATAGTACAGTAAGTGCTTGTGTGCTCACCAGCCCAGAGGGAACAGGCATCAGTACTTTATTTTGCTTGATGTTTTACAATTTATGTAAAAGAAATAGGATTCTACACGTTTTAACATTACAGCTCCGTCTGCCTTGTTGCTTTCCTCTCTCCCCAGAGGCAGCCGCTACCCCTCCGCAGAGCACCGCTGTCGTTAATTCGTAGTTTACCCTCCCAGACCACACTAGATTTTACTCCATGCTTACCTGCTTGTTGCTTACCTATGTGTTATATAGAGGGTGTCCAAAACGTGTATACATGCTTCAGCAGCTGATAACTCAGTTCATTTTCACTCCTTTTCAGGTTTAACAGATTTGAGGTAATGGCTGAAGCCAGACTCATCTTTGAGCAAAGAAAATGTATCCTAAAGTGCCACCAGACTTTTTTTTATGGAGATACATAAAAGATAAAGTTTATGGTACAAATCTGGTGACAGCTGACAAATTGAGGGCACACAAATGCTGAACGAAATGACCCTTGATGTCTGCGATCCCATTGCTTTGCGTTTTCAGCTGTGCCTGGACCAGAATAGTCATCAGTTTGAAAACAGGCATTGGCAAAAAACTTATTCATATCTGTAGTTTTTTTAACTTTTGAAAATGAACTGTATGTTAATAGACACTGAGTTTATAATCATTCAAAGCGTATATACATTTTTTGGGACACCCTATATGATATACACATAAGATATGCATGTAACGTGTAAGTATATTTACACCTAAAGCCGCCTGTATGTCTATTGAACATAGTTGAATTGGCAGTTAATGACGGAGCTGAGACTACAATCTGTGCCTTCCGACTTCTGGTCCGTGCTTTTTCCTTTATGCTTCACTTCTCTTTGTATTCAGTTACTTGAGATTTATAGAAAACAAGTTATGTTCTTTAAAATATAGCTGTGTCTATAAACATCAGTGGCTTGTAAGGCAGTTGTTAGTCCTATTTCTCAGTAGCTGAATTAAACAAAGCTTCCATTTGTTTCAAATTGCAAGGTTGAGTTGTTAAGTGATTATGAACAGATGATCAGGATTGTTTATGGATTGTCATTTTAAGAAGAACATTTTACAGGCCACACATTTAGTCTACCTTGATATTTCTTGCAAAAATTTCCTTGGGAAAATAGTCAGTTCATATAACGTGGTTTTTTTAGGGGGAAAATTTTTTTAAACATTGCAGTTAATTACAATTATTTTTCTTTTAGATTCTTGCCAGAAACCGTATGTTGCATTTATTCATGGAATTACAATGGGTGGAGTAAGTAGACTGTTTTACTCTCATCATTACTATGTGAGTTGTATTAGAAATAAGTTAGTTATTAAACAGAAATAGGTCCTGGCCAGGTAGGTCACTGGTTAGAGCACCGTCCTGATATACCAAAGTTTCAGGTTCGGCCTTCAGTCAGGGCACATACAAGAAGCAACCAGTGAATGCATCAATAAACTGAACAACAAATCGATGTTTCCCTCTCTCTCTCTCTCCAAAAATGATTAAAAAAACCCCCAAACAAACCAGAAATGAAGCGATGAATATAACACAATAAAACTTGTTGAAACAAAGTTATGTTTGGATTGTAGAGCCTTGCAAGTTTGGGATACACTTTTATCACGTTTACACTATCTCCACCCAGAAGAAAATGGTCTTACTTTATGTTATATGCTGTGTTAGCGTCTGGAATTAACAGATTTTTTAACCAATAGAACTCACTGAATCTTGTTTTTAAAAATGTAGAGCCCTTTTCTACTATAAGTAACCGATCGCTCCCAACAGCGTCGGGAGAGAACCTGGGCTATTGGTTTGTTTTGCCTCCGAGTAGTGGGGATGTGGGGCCGGGGTTGTCTGTGGCACAAACTCCCCTCAGTGACAGTGGCTGTTCTGTGACGTTCTCTGAAGTGGCGTTTGTCAGTTGAAATCTTTACTTTGAGTCTACGCTCTTACAAAGAAGTCTTACAGGTCCCTGGCCTTGAATAACTTGATGTGGAGTTGGAGACAACGTAAGATAATTAGCAAGTGGTAAATTGTATGGCACTGACAATAGCAAAGACAAATGTTTCAACAAGTGGGAGGTCCGAGGGAGTCTCCATGGCAGGAAAAGGTAGGCTTCCGGTAGGTGGTAGGAGGCCAGAGGGTGAGGTGGTGAATGTGAAAGATACCGGAAACCCCACAAAGGAATGATAAATACTCCATGGAGTGTAAATCCAATAGTTGCAATAGAAATGATATAATTAAAGATTATTTTCTTTTATTTAAGTAAAAACTAAAAACTCTCAAACCTTTAGGAGGAACTGCCTGGGACTCCAGCAGCCTCTGTGTCACCAGCCACAGCCCCCACTGGTTTTTACAGCCAGAGCTTATGGGGCCGTCTCTTCCCAGTCCTGGAACCCTGGGCGGGGGTCTGGTGTGGGCTTGGGACCCCTTGCTCCTCAGGGTAGACCTCTGCAGCCAAGACATTGTTCCCATTTTCATCCCCACACGTGGGTGTGGGACCAGCCAGGTCTGCGTCTCTGCCTTTCCTACCAGCCTGGGGTGGCTGCTGCTTTCAATCCCTAACAGCCAGATTTCAGGCAGTTCTGAATGATGGTGCTTCTTTAGCTTAGGTGTCTGACTGTGTCTTAATAGAACACCTATAACATGATATTGGCTTTTACAGAGAGTATCAAACATTGTGATTGACTTTATAAACGTTGACATCGAAGGATATAGGTAATAACTGAAGGATTTTATTCATTTCCATTGTCTTTTAAAATATAAGATTGGCATATAGTACATAGAATTTATAGGAAATTGCATGTGTTTTTTAATATTTTCTGAAAAAGGTTTAAAAGTTTCAAGAGCTTTTAAATGGCTGAACTTGAACTGAGGAAATGTAATGAGAAGTTAGAATACTCAGAAAGAAATGAGCCCCTTTCTAATGCGTTCACACTGATAGAACTCTGAGTGCTTGACATTGTTTCAAATAAATTACATGTTTTAACTCAATTAACTGTGTGATGTCAAAGATAGGGTACACTAGTTAGAAAGGATTAAGAATGAGAACTAAATGTAATAGAAGTTTTGAACAATGTGAAGAGAATATAAAATAGGAAATGTATGTTACAGTGTGAACACTGACATAAATTTTATGATACTTTGTCATCACGTGTATACTCCTTATTTATTTTATTCAAATATCTGTTTATTCAACTATGTTTATTCAGAGATGACTGTTAAGTTTGCCCTTCTCAGTGACCTTCACCAAATCAGAGGCTTTCGGCCAGCCTTTTTATTTTCTAAAACTTGTGTCTTAGTAACCATTTTTAAAGAGTTACATGGTTGGCCCCATGGTATCTGAGAAAAATGGTATTGCTAATTTTATCTGATGAAACATGAATAAGTCAGATGTGCTAACATTCTACTTAAAGCTGCGGAGGTTTCCTAGAGTAGCTTGATGGTGCTTTTCTGACCTTGGCCCCACGAAGACACTCAGTGGTCTGGGTAGTCAGTTCCGCAGTTCTTCTCTTTGGAAGGAGAGGGCTTTGGGGGGCTGGGGGGGAAGGACGTGAAGCATGGCACAGAGTGGGAGCAAAAACACCTTCGCCAAAACAAACCCATCGCAGACACAGGGAGGCCTGGGTACTTGTCACCCAGTCAGGTCTTCTCAAGTTGTGTGGTTCAGGGTTTCCCTCAGTCTGTCTCCTGAAGGCAAGTCTCGTGGAATAGAAAGATGATTATTTGCTCATAATATTCTGAGTGTACGCATTTGTTTTTATTCTCTTATAGTATTTTAAAACATGTTTTGCCTTATTTGCCTAGGGAGTCGGACTCTCCGTTCATGGGCTATTCCGAGTGGCTACTGAAAAGTCTCTTTTTGCCATGCCAGAAACTGCAATAGGTAAAAAACAAACCCAAAATTTTCATAATTACTTTTATTTCAACTTATTTTGACTGCACTGTATGTCACACAAGAGTTGGTTAATTCCTTCAACAACAATGTAATCTGAACTACTAGGAAATAGGGGATATTATGAACAATGTTATGCTAATAAACTGGACAGTGCTCCGACCAGCTGAGCGCCCCAGCCAGGGCAGTTCTGGGTCCATTCTGATTGGTTGTTTATCATCTCACTGTGGGCAGCATCTTCCTGCTTTTTAAGATGCTTGGCAGTTTCTAATTGGACTCCAGACATTGTAAATTCACCTTGTTGGCGCTGGATGTTTTGTTTTCTTATAAATATTCGTGAGCTTGCTTTTGGGAGGACTAAAGTCATTTGCAAACAGTTTGATCCTTGTAAGTCTTGCAAGATTTTGGATGATTTGGTGCAGGAGCTGAGCAGTTGCCCAGGCGAGTGCTACTTACTTTCCTCTTTGTATTCTGCTCAGTGCTCCATGCATCATGTGCTTTCTCATCTGACTGGCGGGAACAGGCACTCTTCCAGCTTGGTGCGGGTCCCGGTGCTGTTCTGTGTAATCCTTTCTTCCCTCTTTCTTTAGACTGTCCATTTTTTATTGTCAGATAACACTTCATCTCATGAACAGAGTTCAGTTTGCTCATCCGTTCACTCACTGGCAAACATTGGGTGGTTTTCATCTTGTGTCTGCTATGCGTAATCTGGTAGAACCATTTTTTTAAAATTTATCTTTATTATTGAAAATTACGGTGTCCTCTTTTTGTTTGTTTGTTTTGGTTTTGTTTTCTTTTTCCCCTTTTTTATTTATTGATTTTTTAGAGAGAGAGGAAAGGGCGGGGGGAGAGCGAAATATTGATGTTTTGATTGGTCGCCTCCCATATACACCCCGACCAGGGGTAGAACCCACAACCTGAGCATGTGCCCTGACCGGGAATTGAACTGGCAACCGGTTGGTGATGTGCAACCCGCTGAGCCACACTGGCCAGGCTGTGTGACCCTTTCTTAGGGTTCTTGCCCGAGCCACAGTGGTTTATTCATACACGAGTCCTGCTCAGTGCTGGTCTCACCTAGAGCAGAGAAAGTTACATGCATCTCTCATTTGAACCCCTGCTGTCTCTCTTTGTTACTTAATTACAGGACTATTCCCTGATGTGGGCGGAGGCTATTTCTTGCCAAGACTTCAAGGAAGACTGGGTTACTTCCTCGCGTTAACAGGATTCAGGCTGAAAGGAAGAGATGTGTACAGAGCAGGAATTGCTACACACTTTGTAGATTCTGAAAAGGTGAGTACTTGGAAATTGCATCTTATGTTGTTGGAAGAACTCATTGCATGGGAGGCAGTGGGCGGCTGAGGTCCTAGGCTTCGGTAGCCGGAGGTCTGAATCCTGGACCTCCTGCTTACAGCTCTGTGACCGCCAGGAAGGGTCTCAGCTCCCCAGATGCAGGTCACTGGGTCAGGAAGAAGGGCTCCCTGTACAGAAGGACTGGAGTTTACTCGTGGAGCGCAGCCCCGCTGGGTTTGAGAGAGCGTGGTCAGGGGAGGCCTTCTGGGTGGAGGAAACATTTAACAAACAGGTGGGACATGGGTACTTGGGCAGCAAGCACCGCTATGTTTTGGAGACAGTGAAAAGCCCCATTTGATGGAGCACGGGAGGTGTGTGAGGGGCCAGGGGAGAGCTCGGTGTGGCTGTGTTACAGAGCCTACGGCCACTGTAGCGGCCACAGTTCTGTGGGATCATTTTAGTTCAAGTCAGTTACAGTGTACAGTTCAGATCTTTGGTTGTGGTACCGCATTTCACCTGCTCCGTAGCCAGAGGGGAACAAAGATGAGTGTCTCAATCCCTCCTCTTCAGTTCCCCCACCTTCACTCATTCCTCGCAAGACAACACCTGCTGTGGGAACGTGTGTGCACAACGTCAGTGACAACCTCCCTCAGTAGCTCAGCCGAAGAGAGGGGCATCATCATTTTAAGGCAGGAATTTCAAAAAAGAATAGGTTTCTGAAGTATTTTGTGTTCCCGTGGTGTTTCAAATCTGTTTCCTGTCCCCCTTATTATTGTTATTTTTTACCTTTAGTTGAACCTGTTAGAAGAAGATTTATTATCCCTGAAATCTCCTTCCAAAGAAAAGATTGCAGATGTCTTAGAAACATATCATGCAAAGGTAACCTTGTCACTATTCTAACCTCAGGTTTTAATTCCGGGGAAGGGCGAGTGACTGGAGAGCCGTGATGAGCACTGTGGTGCGTGGATGTGGATGAATGTGCGCAGCCTTCTGAAAGCCACAGAGGAAGCGTCTGCAGAGCTGTCAGGGTGGGGACCTAGTCCAACTCAAATCCGAGGTCGTTCCCCCGGCAACCAGCCCTCCCATCCTCGGGGCTTTCCAGAGTCCCCTCATTAGCAGCATCAGTGCTGTGGCCGAGAGGGACTTGTTACGAAAACAAGACACCCGTCTCACCTTTATTTTGGGAACTGAAGACAAAAGACCAGATATTAACATGGAAGGTGCTTGCTTATGTTTCCAGGCTGTGGGCAGCCGTGAGCCATGAGTGAGACTAAGCCTCTGTGCATTTTAAGTTACGCGGGACGGAGAATGCAGCCGAGGTGGCAGGGGGCAAAAGCTTTAGTGCTGTGCATGGTCATGATTTATGGAGGGCCCTTGTCTGTGGGCCTCATAGTGGACCCATGCCAGAGGAAGTTGCAGCCTCAAACTGCCGGAGTCCAACCCCAGCAGGTCCAGGGGTCCCCAAAGGTGTGGATGGAGTCGGCGAAGAAGGAAGGACACGGAGACAGCATTCAGTTGATCAGCAGCCTAGCCAGGATCTCTAGCCAGGATCTCCAGCCAAGTTCTGGTCTGGATCTCCAGCGAAGTTCTTTATTGTCTTGTTACATCCGTATTTATCCCAGTTGATTTTAATCCTGTCAATTTCTATTACAAAGGTTAGGGCGTTTCTTATCTCCATTCCAGGGAGTAAAGATTATGTAGCTTAAGCATGATTGTTTGTAGTGATTAACTACCCGCCTGGCACTTAGTTAAGGAGTTTCATCCCCTCCCTGACTTCAGGGAAAAATTCCTACCCGGGGAAACAACCTTTCTTGGAGAGGTGACCTTGGTTAAAACACACAGCGCTAAGGGGAGCAAACATATTAAGAACAGTATGCTATATACACCAGGTCCCTTGAAACATATGCTGTGCAGATGTTTCTTTCCTGCAGCGACTGTGTCAAGCAGCAAGGATGGACCGGCTTCCGGCATCAAACCATTTGCCCAGCCTCCTTACCCTTGGGCTGTGAGCACTGAAGGGGGCTGTACAGTGTAGAAATAGAGCGCTCCCTAGCTGAGGGCACTGAACGGAGCATATCTGCTCCAGGAGGAGAAACTTCATAAACACGGAGCCTGTTTCAGAAACCCAGTGATCAGTCCTCAGGCCTTTGTGACACACGCAGAAAACAGGGCACGTGATAATATAACTATTTTATGTAGGAAAGTACAGATGTGTGGAATAAACCAGTAGCACTTGTGAATTTTCTGTGAGGTCTAAGAGATTCTGGACTTTTCATCCATAAAAGAGAACAAAAACCAGTCATCTTTTCATTCCTTATATCTCTTCTACCAAGATTTACAGGAGTCAATTTTTTAAAAAATATATTTTATTGATTTTTTACAGAGAGGAAGGGAGAGGGATAGAGAGTTAGAAACGTCGATGAGAGAGAAACATCGATCAGCTGCCTCCTGCACATCTCCCACTGGGGATGTGCCCACAACCAAGGTGCATGCCCTTGACCGGAATCGAACCTGGGACCCTTGAGTCCGCAGGCTGACGCTCTATCCACTGAGTCAAACCGATCAGGGCTATAGGAGTCAATTTTTAATATTGGCTTAAAGCACATGATCACCCCCAGACCAGTCTTAATAAACCTTGAGTGTGTGGACTATGTTTCTAGAATATACTGTGATCCACATTTTGTTTACTTTGAGGAAAAAAAGCGTTAGTGCTGAGTGTGCCTGCATGGCCCGGAAGGACTGCCCGGGCTGCCCCAGCTGGTCCTCATAAAAGCCTCCTATCCAAAGCAGACGGGCCCGTGGCGTCGTGCTGGCTTTGCTAGGACTCAGCTACACCAGCGAAGGTGTGTGTGCACACTTTAGGAAGGACTGTGAGCCCGACCGATGCACCTCACTGATGGGGCTCATCCGCACCAAGAGGCCACCCGTTCTATTCCCCGTCAGGGCACATGCCCGGGTGCTGGGCTTGATCCCCAGGAGGGGGCGTGCAGGCGGCAGCCGATCGATGTTTCTCATCATCGATGTGTCTCTCTCTCTCCCTCTCCCTTCCTCTCTCTCTAAAATCAATGAAAGCATATTAAAGAAAAATGAATGACCTGGATAAACTGGAATTGGTGCATTCGAGGGCCCTGGGTTGTGAGGACGCTGCAGTGAGGAACGATGAAGGTGGAAGAGGGTGAATTAGAGCTAGAAACATGAGGTCTTATTTTTGGCCCAGAATTAAACACAAGCTCTAGCCACAGCTGCCCCGCACTCAGGGCGCTATTCTATCTCTGCGGCTGCAGGGAGCTGGCGGGATGCCTGCCTCACGTGGCATTGGGCAGGGCGACTTCTCGGTCCTCACAGTCCTTGAACTTCCTGACACACTGTGACGAACATGTGTCACAGAGATGATGTGACATAAAAGTACAGGAGCACTTGGCCTTCGACCCTGTCAGGTGCTGGCCTGGAATAGACACGTCTGAGTTTTGAACACAGTGGTAGGCAGTCAGGAGACGGTTGGATGGAATTGGATTGAAAGCGATAATCTGTCACATAGTGTATCCTTCAATATGAACTGATTGAAGATTTTTAAAGGATTTGAGTTACTTCAAATGAATGTCAATATTTTTCTTTTCAAACAGTCCAAAGCTGATGAGGGCAAGGCGTTCGCCCTGGAGGAGCACCTGGGCAGGATAAACAGGTACTCGAGCCGGGTGCCCCTGTCCCTGGGGGCTGGGAAATGGGACCTGCTAGTGGAATGCCATTGTGTTGAGGATGCACCTAATGCTGCAGCTGGAGAGCACAGTGCTTTTATTTCACTCACCTTTGAAAACAGCTCCTTGGCCACTCTGTTGGGGGAGACCAACCCATTGATTTAGGTGCATCGACTCATGTTATTGAAAAACATTTTTTTTTTTTAAAGTGGGAAAGAGAGGCTAGAAATAAATGAGTTAACTTACCTTTTATCTTTGTAAAGTCATCTTCCCTGAAGGTCCGATGTATCGAACCCCTCGGCCAGTGGTTTAGTGTCATGATCTGAGAGATTAACAGACTGGCTTAAGAACACAGGAGGAGGAAACTACTGGAAAATAAGACAACCGTCTCTACAGTTAGAAGCACCAATTTTTCAGTTTTGATATCATTTACTTACAAATAACGGTGCAGGCGGCCCACAGAGAAGACTTGGGCTCTGCTCTGCGTCACCAAGAGCAGAGCAGCGTTAGCGCCTGCGCCTGTCAGAGGGAGGGAGGCCTGTGCTGGGCTCTGGCTGTCACAGGAGGACGGGATCGTCATGTGACATCATGTGTCTCCTTTCCTACAGCTGCTTCTCCGCCAACACGGTGGAGCAGATTATTGAAAACTTACAGCGAGACGGCTCGCCTTTCGCCCTGGAGCAGCTGAAGGTAACGCCTGGGTCACTTCTGCCCGAGCGAGGTGGGCCCTCGGGCGGGAGGCCGCGAGGGGGCAGGTTTCTGTGGTGGTGGCATAGCCCACTGTTGTTGTTCCCCAAAACCTTACCAAACCCAGGTGCCGGTCACCAAGCCCTTGGCCATCACAGGGAGCCCGGGGCAGCTTCCCCTGCAGGGCCCTCCGGTCCTGGGGAAGCACCAGGGTGTGTGTATTAGAAGGTTGGGCAGCAGGGACGGTCACCTTGCAGCAGGTTGCAGGAGTGACACTGATTGGTAAGTTCTGTTTAATGAGCAGCAGCTCAATATATGGTCTTTCTAGGCAGTAGGTTTAATAAAAAAAAGAAAAATCTTTTAAAACCCGTTGTGCGCCATAAGTATCTGTAGACGCAAGCGCGGACCTTCCCCACACGCCTCGAGCGTCTATAAAAAAACGTTTTCCTTAAGTGGCAGCTCTGATCAACTTAAAATCATTTTTCATGAGAATTTTCAGCTGGAAATATTCAAGAACACCCGGATTGTGAGTAATATATTTATTTTTATAGTACTCATTGCACATTGATTTTTTAAATTAAATTCAAAATATCGTGGCGTGTGGGGATGGTTTCCGTCTTGGACGCGTGGCAGTCAACTGATTCAACTAGCACGGGGCTCCGTCTCCAGCCGCCGCTGAGCCTCAGCAGTTTCTCAGTCTCAGGGACACGATCTTCCACCGCCAGCTCGGCTGGCGACAGCAGGAGGCGCCGCTTTGTGGGAATGCCATGCCGGCAGGTTAGACCCCTGAGACAGCTTTCAGACTCCTAGATGCGGCAGGCACGCGTCAGAGCAGGTGGGACAGTGGTCTCTCTCCCTGACTCACAAAGTCATTAACGTTATTCCAGCTTTTAGGAATGTTTGCATAAATGTAGATGATGGTTTTTTGTTTCAGGGATTCTGACTTCACGTTGGTTCTCTTGTTCCAGAGCAACATAAAAAATAGTATTCCTGTTATCACTGTTCTCAGCGACGTGGCTAAGTGTGCCCTTAGCAGCTCCATTTGCAAACAGCCACGCAGCACTTTGCCTGACAGGCGATCTGGTGTCACTTTACAGCAGCTCAGATGTGCAGGGACCACCTCCCTTGAGAGCACTGCCCCCCTGGCTGAGGGGGCGCTGGACGCCCTCCCGCTGCCTCTGTCCCTCTCGTGTGTGATCGTCCCACACACAGAAAGGGGTTCTGGCAAGCCCATCCGGCGAGGCCACACACACACACACACACACACACACACACACTCACACACACACACACACACACTCACACACACACACACTCACACACACACACACTCACACACACACACACACACACTCACAGGAAGTGCGAGTTTCCTTCTCACTCGGCTCACCTGGAGCTCTGGTGAATGAACGCGGCTCCAAAATGCCCATCTCTGCTGGGAGTGATGTGACATGACATGACGTGACGTGGGATCAAACTCCCGCTGAGGCTTCCTGGCCGAGGTAGACACCCCAGAACCACCCAGAACCACCTGAAGGAGAAGATAGCCGTTGGTGTCAGGTGAAACGTTTGCAGACGAGAGAGATGCTGGACGGATTGTCGGAGGTCCCAGTGCTTCTCTCGGCGAGCCTCTCGGATGGCTCCTCGCCCCGGGTGTCCCCGGGTCCCTGTGCTCTTCCTGCGGGTCCCAGGGGTTTAGCCGCGTTCCTGTGCCAAGCGCTACCACGGCCTCTACATCTCGGGGTCCCTTTCTCTCCAGGATTGACTGTGAGAGAGACATCATTTCTTCAACATCCTTACTAATCGTTGAATAGAAACAGGGTGTTCGGTGCACACCCAGTGATGGCACATTCCACACGCGCTGATGGGCTCCCGCTGAGTCCGTCTCAGCAGTTGGAGGGATGGACTTTTCCTGACTGTCATGGATTAGGGAACGTTTGCTTGGTGCTTGGGCCGGATTAGCCTAAAGCAGTGATGGCGAACCTATGACGCGTGTCAGAGGTGACATGCTCAGTCACTTTTTTTGGTAGATTTTTCTTTGTGAAATGGCATTTAAATCCATAAAATAAATATCAAAAGTATCATTGTTTGTTTTACTATGGTTGCAAATATCAAAAAATTTCTGTATGTGACACGGCACCAGAGTTAAGTTAGGGGTTTTCAAAATGCTGACACGCCGAGCTCAAAAGGTTCGCCATCACTGGCCTAAAGTGTAGCCTAACTTTGCTAGGACTTTGTCATCTAAAAGTGCTGTATGAAGGAGCACATTTTAACATGATTAATACCAAAACTCAGCTGGTTTGTTATAGACAGCAGAGGAACTATTGGTATACAACGAGCAAATGCTTCTTCCTAACAGGTAATTCAGAAGATGTCTCCAACGTCTCTCAAGATCACCCTGCGGCAGCTCACAGAGGGGTCCTCACAGAGCCTGAAGGACGTGCTGACCATGGAGTACCGGCTGAGCCAAGCTTGTGTGGTGAGCATTGGTCTAAGTGTTACCATTCCAGAGCTACCAGCTAACGTATGGTCATTGTGGAGCGTGCAAAACACGGAGCCATCGATAGGAAAACGGCCGTGGATGTCTCTGTAGAAACACAGTGGGCCAGTTAGCTCAGGTGCCGTGGAGACACTTGAGCAGAGGGGATGGGTGGTGGTGGAGTGGGGACCCGTCGGTCCGTCTCTGATGCTGTGGCAGCAGTGGCGTGGGAGTGGGAGCTCAGCGGGTGTAGAGAGAGGTCTCCAGGAGCAAGGGCGCTCACAAGCTCTCCCTCCTCTCGTGTCTTCCAGGGAGGCCATGACTTTCCCGAAGGCGTCCGGGCAGGTGAGTGACAGCTGGCTCCTTCGGCTCTCATGGGAGCAGAATGTGAGCACACACTGTTCATCCAAGATGGTTGCTGTCTAATTAGTGAAAACTAGACTTTTATACAGATTGCAAAGTGTTAAAAAATTACCAACTGGCTTATAGGGGAGATAAGTCATTGCATCCGATATTGTTTTAAAAACTTACATGACTGCTCACTGCTCCCTAATTTATATGCCAGAGGTCACCCTGCTTTTAAAGTCACGGGCAGAGGCAGTGTGAGCTTGTCACTCATGCTGTTGCTGAAGCCTCAGAGAGACGTTTATTCCGCACAATGCAGGAGAAAACCATATACGTAATGAGTAAAATACGGGAATGTTTTTATTTATATTTTTGCTTATCTTCAAAGCCAGTATATTTAGAAGAAGCAAGTGGTTGATTTTTTTCATTCCTAGCAAATTTGCAATAATTTTTATGCATATGCCCATCTCCCTAAAAACATAGCTGTTACTTCTGTGAGTTTCCCTCTGCCTACACTTTGCATGTCTGGTTTCCTCATGTTTTTATTGATCACTTTCATGTAGTAAGACCGGATGCGCTCTGCCTGAATAGAGCTTCGGTCAACACCGGGCACTGCGTGGGGAACTTCTGAGCTTATGGCCTGATCTCCTATCTGAAGTGAGCCTGGGCTCAGACCCTCTCAGAGGCACATCGCGCTGCGTCGGAGGGGGCCATAGGTCATACAGAAACCAGTAAGATAGGCATTTCCCCCACTAATTCCCAGCAACATGGGATCAGAGCCTAGACTTCTGATTTTAGGAGGATCCATGTGATACTTGGGTTCTGCTGCCAAACCTTCATTTTATGTGAGAGCAACCCTTCTTAAACTTAAAAAAGACAGGTGTTGTTTCTAGATACACTGTCATGATTTTAAGGAAAGAGTTGAAACCGAGCTGCATTAACTTCTGATTACAATGCAGGTTCTTATCGGGCTACTTTTTACTGAGGAGAAAGGGTAGCCCCTCGTTAACCAGCATAACCTTTTTATTCGGAAAGTAGCATCTGTTCTCAGGAAAACTGGGCGGTGTTTTTGCATAATCAAATGTTTGCGTTAATTTGCTAATTATAAAATATGTCATCAAATTAAGTAAAGTAGCACATTAGGGGAGTGGTTGTCAGAGGTGTTTGTTGTCAGCATGTAGAGCAGACTTCTGGGCGTCAGGGAAAGCAGAGCAGGTCATTCTAGCAGAGCAGCTGCGGGCGGATTGGTCCACGTCTCAGGGACCTGCGGGCGGAGCTGCCTCCATGCAGGCTGCCTGTCTGCTGACAAAGTGCTCGTTGGGAATAAAATAGACTCCGAGTTGATCACTCTTTCTTCTGCCCTTGAGGGGACGTCTGGGCGGCAGACGGCATTGGCAGGGGGCCCGGGGGTCCTGGCGGAAAGCCTGTCCCAGGGCTGCTTGCACAGGCACTGCCCCGGATGTGCAGCTCAGGTTGGCTGGGAGGATGACATCATGGTCAGCACCCTCACTGGATGCTGATGCTGATGCTGATGCTGATGCTGGGGCCTCAGCCAGGCAGCTGAACTGCACCCCGGTGTCCACACTTAACTATGCATCCACCCCCACCCCCCAGGCAGCCTGCTTCCTTGTCCCAGGTGGCTGCTCTCGTCATTTACCTTGAACCCTAAAGGTGGTGTCTGGTTCATGTAGGGTTTGTCTGTTGATATGTTTCCACTCTTCACAGGGACTGTGCACGTTTTACTAGTAAGCATGGTTCAGACCGCCCGCCACAGCCATGTGAGCGCGGCCCCTTCCCTTCACGGCTTTGCGACAACGTAAGAAACCCCCCAGAGCGGCCCTGCCTGCCCCGTCAGTCCCCAGTGGCAGCATCGGTAGCTGCGCACTGTCAGCCAGAAGCTGACACCCCCCCCTCCCCCCCGTAAAGGGGCCTTACAGACGCCTTGCGCTCACCCTCCTGTGGGGTCTGCCTGGCTGCACTCAGTGATGACACCACTGAGGCTGGAGGGGCTTCTCATGATGCCGGTGGCGTCGGCGCTCTGACTCAGGGCTGTGAGCAGAGGGCTCAGCAGAAGGCAGGGTCCACGCTGAGTTATGCGTAAGCCCCTTCCTCTCCCTTCAGTCATCTTCCCTCACCTCAGCTGGGTGAGGGAGGCCCTCTCCCTCCTGCTGTCCTCCCAGTCACCCCAGCGCTGGTCCAGCTGCTTTATAACAGGAGGCTTCCTTCACGGCTTTGCCGGAAGACGACGAGGCTTCTAGCCCCGAACCCTGGCTCCGCTTGGAGGCCTGGGCTGGTGGCTGCCACACGGTCCTCATCAGCACGTGGCCGCCCCTCCGGAATCTGTGGGGCTTCACTTTTAAGAGGAACAGACACACACAAATTCACGCTTTGCAGAAAGACATGTGCTGGAAAGCCACGCCTCGTACCAGGCGTTTGTCATTCGGTAATTAGAATCGTGACTCAGCAAGGAATGAACTGACGTTTCTTGTTCTTCACTTCAGTTTTAATAGATAAAGACCAGAGTCCCAAGTGGAAGCCGGCCAGCCTGGCGGAAGTGACTGATGAGGCTGTGAGCAGTTACTTCAGGTCTCTGGGGAGCAACGATTTGAAGTTGTGAAGTGCCTGGGTTTGGGAGGCAGTTGGAACAGAGGCTGGCAAACGGAGGCTCGTGCCCGAGTCGGCTGCTGCTTTACATGCCCGCGAGCTGGGCGGCTTCTGCTGTTAATGGGGGGAAGGAGAGCAGAGACGGGCATTTCATGAACCACTGGTGTCCGCAAGTAAAGCGTTGGAGCGTAGCTGGACTCGCCTGTGTGCACTTCCCCTCGGGAGACCACAGCCCAGACGAGGCCTGCCAAGCCCAAGCTGTTTCCTCTCCGCCCTTTTAGAGGACGTCTGCCAGCCCCTGACTGGAGATGGGACACGTGAGGTCCTCAGAGATTGGGTGGGAGAGCTGGTGGGAATGGGAGCTTAATGTCCGGCTTTGGGAAGGCGTTTATATGTTGATTAAGTAGATTATGTACAGATGATAAAAAATAAAATCATGTTTTTGGATACTGTGTTAATGCTTCATAGAGTTTTCTCCATGTATAAGTCTATTTTAAAATGATTATGAGTAACTGTAACAGAAGTGTTCCTTTTATAGCATTAGAAATCTCAGGCAAAGAGAAAGGTTCTCGTGAAGTTCTCTCTCCAGTGTTATTCACTCAGGCTCGGCTTTTCTAAAGTTAACCCTCCCCTCCCTGGGAGAGTGGGGCCTCACTTCCCTCCGCAGCACCCGCTGACCGGCAGGTGGGAGCTGGGAGTCCAGGCTCCGAGATGGGGACGCCCTGGTGCCTGCAGTTGGCATCCAGCGTCCGTGTGGGCATTGCCATTGGTCCTTACCCAGTTCAGTCAGGAGGCAGACGTGAACACAGGACTTCCACTTCGAATAGAAATCCCTTCAATAACTGGTCCTGTTGACAAAACGAGGGTGTTCAGGGCACCAGAAGCCGCAGGGACCTGCAAGTCTAGGTGAGAATAAGTTAAAGGTCAGCTGCTTGTTTATGTTGTAACCGTATAGTTTTTCCTGCGTGGGGAAACCCTCAGAAACTAAGAATTTCCGGGTCGTAAGAACAGAGTGGCAGCGATCCATGATTCTCTCATCATTGATGTTTCTGGCGCTCTCCCTCTCCCTTCCTCTCTGAAATTAATTAAAAAAAATTTTTTTTAAAGGAAAGTGGTAGAACTGAAAATGACATCAAAGGTTTTATCCTGGACCTTCCATAGGTGGGGAGCTGCAGCCCAGAGGACTGGCTTTCCATTCTGTTCTTAGTCTATGCAGCATGAAGGAGCTTCCAGAAACTTCAGGAGCAGAGTAGGAATAAAGGTGCCCCAATAAGGAGCACGCTGACCATTCTGTTCTCAACGCTCTGAGTCGGACCGAATGGCCCACGCAGCCACGCAGCCACGCAGCCACGTGCATTAGTGGGTTCTGCTCACTTTGTGTTTGTGAGAAACACAGGAAATACTAAGACCTCTGTGTTGAAAAGCCTGTAAGTGCGCAGTGTTAAAAGCATTTGCTTCCTGAAATTAAATAGGAACTCATAGCTAGTTAGTTGCAACTAGACCTTTATTGTACAAAGAAGTGTTTCCACAAAAATATTTGGAAAAAATATTCCATTTCATAGCTAAGACTTGGAGGGGAACTGGCTGATAAAATGTCAGTTTTGCCAAATGAGAGGGAGAGAGTGCCTCTGAGCTGTGTGTGTCCCGCGTGGTCACACAAATGCAGGAGGAAGTAAACCTACGTGAGGGCTTTGTTTTAAATGACTGCTGACGGGATTTACAGCGTGTCTCACCTCCAGATTTCTCACATTATACAAGTACAGTCTCTCCATCTCGTAAATGTCCGTGATAGTGACTAGGATGCAGGATCTCATGCTTTGTGCCTTTACTGTGCCTATTTTTAGTGCCAATAAGGCAGTTTGACAAAGGATTCCTTGGGACCGGAGTCATTTCCATCCCCTTCACGCCTGTGCATTCAGAGCTAATAATAAAATGGGGAGTTGGCAGAGAACCTCCGAGAGCGGAGGGAGCTCGCACCCAGGCCTGTGCTGCCCGCGATGACCTGACCTGGCAGGAGGCCAGGCCAGCGGTGGGGGAGGTCACGTGCCTAACGGAGGTGGGCACATTCCCTCTGCCGCCTGCAGGGGGGCGTGGCCCGTGCTGGCCCCGGGCTGGTGTTGTGTGGGGCGCTGGCCTGTCCTCAGTGGGGAACGTGCTTCTGGGGAGCTGGCGTTCGTGCTGCGCCTCACACTCTGCCCCGCTCTCCTCCCTCACTGGCCATCTTAGTTCATCTGCGTGTGACACAAGTTGGAACAGATGTTTTCCCTGTTGTATGTCTCCTCCCTCCAACAGTCCTTTCCCCTTTAAAAGGAAGTAAACCTAATATTTAAAAGTAAGGCCTGACGGAGCCTGAGCTGTCCTATTAAAGAGGGCCTCCTGCATCTCGGCATCAGCGCCAACCACGTGCACCTCAGCGTGTCGGCGGCTCCCTCCCGCCTGCTCCCGACGCAGGTGCATCTCCAGGATCTGTGGCGCAGGACGCACGCCCCGAGAAAGGGCTCGGGAGCCAGGGCGCCCGGCCACGGGGTAAGGGAGGTGCATCGTGTCAGGGTCACACACAGCGACGGGGACCAGGTGGCCTTCCGTGACCCCTGAGCAGAGCAGGAGCGGAGGTTAAACACTTGGCATAAGCCAGCGAGCAGCCTGCGGCCCTCCGTGTGCTGCTGGCATGTGGCTCTTCTCCTCACAATGTTGTTTATGTAACTTGTCTTCCAGCACATGGCCTTGTGCACAGGGCCCCGAGGCGGAGGTGTGGAGTGAGTGAGAACGGCAGCTTCTGGGCTTTGGCCCGGGCTCCCGTCTGAGTCGTGTAAACACTCAGAAACCTGCATTTTCTTCCGTGGAAGCACCTGCCGTGTCGGGAGGGTGTCTGCCTCAGCCTGAGACTCGGTTCCTCATATTCGAGGGGTTTCCTGAGCTGCTAGGACGGCCGGGACCAGTGGAAGGAAGGTGAGTGACAGGCGTCCCGGGCAGTGGGGGGTGGCCCGCCATGCGCGTCGCAGACCTCAGCCCGTGACTCAGACCCCTGTGCTCGCCGGGGGCTCAGCACGGCTGTGAAGTGAGCGGTGGCACTTCCGCCTGCTGCAAGGCCCGCTGCATGCTACCTCACGAGAGGCCACGCCTGTCTCAGCTTCCAGAGGCTTCCGTGAGGAGCCCATTCCTTAACGAAAGGCTCTCACACGGGCTTAGCTCTTTCCAGTTAAACTCAGCGGGGCAGGTCCTGGAAAGACCACCCTAGAGACTCAGTCCCAGTCTTCCTACAAGTTATGTCTGAGCACCTTCCCCTCTACATGTTCTGTCACTAGCGATCTCAAACGGTCCTAAATTCCTTTAAAGAAACTTCCTGGAAAGTCAGCTTTATGAGAACAGCACCGTGTATGGCAGTAAATGCCCTAGGAGTGTCACAATAAGCAGCAGCCTCGAGCCCTGCACCTCGCTGGGAGCAAAGCCTGGTGCACGCTCAGCACCACGCCCAGGCCCTGCCGCCGCCGGTCGCTGTTCCTACCGGCACCCAGCTGGTGTTCTTGTGCGGTTCTGTCCCCGGGCCTTGGTTCCTGCACTAAACGTTACTGCCAGGACTTCATCAACTGTCTTAGGAAGTGCCTTCCGCGGAGAGTCTGGGGCATCCGCTCAGGGCGGAGCCGAGGGTCCTGAGGTTCAAGGCGGAACATGTCACAGGTGAAAGCATAGCACTCTTGTCTCTACCCCTCACTCCAGGATGTTTTTATTGTTTTGAGAGAGAGAGGTGGTGGAAGAGAGAAACATCGATTGGTTGCCCCGATCGGGGATTGAACCCACAACCTCGGTATGGACCCTGACGGGAATCAAGCCACAGCCTTTGGGTGTACGGACCCCACTCCCACCCCCGAGCCCTGGCCAGGGCAGCGTACGTGTCCGAAGGACAGGCTCCCGGGGGCTCTCTCCTCAGAGCTGATTCCTAAAGCGGGGCCACTGGAGATGGGGATCCTGGACGCACATGGTTCTGACAAACAGAACCCACTGTGAATTCCTGTGGCTCGAGCACCACCACTGCCACGGCATTTCCCGAAAAATCCTCTCCGTGCCGTGGGGTTTCGGTGTAAACGAGCACACGTACTAGTTAGTTCAGGGGTGTCTCTAGGCTGCTTGGAGCCTCGGGCATTATTGCGTTTTTATTGATGGCGCTGCTGTCCTGTCTCGGGCACCCTGATGGCGGCGGGACCACAGGCCTGTGGCTCGCCCTCTCCGCTGAACTCCCACCACGGGAGCACCTGCTGCAGACACATTTCACCTGGGGCCTATGCTGTGGCGATTGTCACAGACTGGCCTTTACTTAGAAGGAGTCACATGTGTTTATTCATACAAGGCTTTGCTTCTGTTTCATGTATGTGAACTAGCACCGACCCTGCCCGCGGCCCCGCCGCGTCAGCGCTGGGCCACGCCGAGGCCGTCACTCTCGATGAACGGGATGTCCGCGTACTTGGCGTTGCCGTCTGCCCACTGCTGCAGGGCGCCACTCAGGATCTCCTGCGACAGGCGGTGCGCGAACTCGGACACCACGACTTTGGGCTCTGCGGGCTGTGCCGGCTCCTCCGCCTCCTCCACCGCCTGCACCTTCTCCACCTCCGCCTCCTCCACCTCCACCACCTCCTCCACGCCCTCCACCTCCTCCACGTCCTCCACGTCCTCCCCGTCCTCCCCGTCCTGGGTGACGGGCGTCGGCACCCGCGGCTCACACCTCTCGATGGTGGAGGGGAAGGGGAAGGTCTGCTTGGACTTCATGCAGCCCATGCTGCGCGGACGCCGTGACCGTGACCGTGACCGGCCCGGAGGCTACCTCAGCAGCATCTTGGGAAATGCCTGTCCACGGGATGCTGACCGCTCCCCGGCACCTGGATGGCGCCCCTTCCTCTTCACATGGGGCGTCTGCCTGTGGAGAGAGAGGAGTTTCACGGTGAAGGCCTGGCACGCGGACTCGGCGCCATCACTCCGCCCTTATCCCTCAGCTCCCACGTCCTCCGGGGGCCAGACGCCAGCTCTGTCTCATCAGCAGAAACCAGGAGAACCGCTTGGGGAACGTGGCCAGTGACCAGAGAGGAACACGTTTGTTCAAGGTCAGGAAAAGTTTACGACCCTGAAAACACAGTTCAACCCCTCTAGCTGAGATCCACTGTGGAGGCCGGGACGACGCTGGTCTCTGGGCCCCATAGCCGCCTGCTGGTGAAGGAAGCTCCGGGACATGGTGTGCCCACTGCTCACACACCATCGATGCAACTTCACTTCCTGCGAGTGCTCGGGCGGGCATTAACCCCTCACTCCGCAGGGGTCTCCCGCAGGGTGACCGCAAGCCAGGGGTCACACACGCCACAAATACGCAGTCTTTTTAAAAGGCTTTATTGTTGAAACTTAGATATGTCCCTTCCCCCCACCCCCTCCTAGGCCTTCACCACCTTACTGTCCGTGTCCATGGGTGATGCATATGTGCACCCGGTTTTCTGCTGAATTGGATATCCCTGTGAAAAGCTCAGATTAACTTAAGGTTAAAGGTTCCTTACCTGAATATCTCATTCTCTTATTTGGGATGCTGACAAAAAAGGGGGCTCCAACAAACCACCACTCCTCCTGGGAGGTAGGTGGGCGTCCGTCCCACCCAGGCCTCTCACTGCCCTTTGAGGGGTTTAAGGAGCCCGTCCCTTGCGGCTGTGCGTGTGGGCGCGCGCCTGAAATGCCGAGTGGCGCCCAGGAAGGTGCGCTGGCCTGGCTTTCTCCCTTCCGTCCTCCCGCATCTCAGCGCATCAGAGACAGTGCGACTGTGTTCTGTGGACTGTCCGGCCCTTGGCAGCAGGTCGGCCGTTTCTCTCGCTGCAAGGGGGCCGCAGCCTTGTGATGTGTCTGCTCAGCTTCCGACGGGAGCACTGAATGCAGCTCTTACACAGGCGCCTCCTGGGGGCGGGCAGCGTCGGAGTGCGGCCGGGCTGTGCACCGTCCGTAGTGGTCGGGTCAGACCCGGCTCCAAGAAGTCGCCAAGTAAGCCGGGTTGATGGACGTCTGCGCCCCCCGATCTAAAGGAGTAGCCACGAGCGTGCGCTTAATTATTGCCAACAGTTCATAGTGGAAGCCCAGAACGGTGGCCCTTGCCCAGGCCTCACCGCTGTGCGCGCCGGTTTCTACAGTCTCCCCAGTTCCTCCCGTCGCACGCTGGTGCCCCTGCGGCCCCTGGGAGGAAGCCCAGCCGTCCGCTCTGTGGCGTCCACTCGTGTGCCTGCTCCGAGGTGACGGCAGAACCGGCAGGGAGCGTGGCGGCCCGTTCACGAGACCCGACTTCCTGGAGAGCATGGGTGACGTGGCCTCTGCTTCGCGCCTGGGTGGCTGAGGGGACTGGACCTGGTTGACCTGAAGATGATGCTGGGGACCCAGGAGTGCCAGGTGCAGGCAGGCCAGGAAGCGTCTTTCTGGGTCTTAGGTTTGCAGAAGCGGTTTCATCAGACCTAGTGCCAGGTCTGCCCTCTCACCAAAACCAGCGTTAAGCCTGGACAGAACCACTGTCCGAGCTACAGAGACTTCTTCGGCGTTTACTGAGCCAAACTGAGGATGTGTGCCATGTGCCGTGTGCTGGGGAGCAAGATCTCAGGTGCTCCAGGGAGGGACCGCCTCCCAGCTTCTTCCCGTAGGAGATGGAGGAGGAGCCAAGGAAGATTCCGAGAGGGAGGGAGGGAGCCAGGCGGGGCTGGACGGCCTCTCGCATTTCCAGGTGTGTTAGCCCAGATGCACGGACACCCTGGCCTGGCTGAAGGCAGAGATAAGCCTTTTAGGAAAGTGGTTACTAGCTGGGCCTGACTCCCCACCGGAGCTGCCCAGTTGGGAACTTGTGTTCACGCCGCCCTGTGGGGTCCTTTCCATAGGACCCCTGTTCGCCCACATCGGGCCTTGTCAGGCCCTGCACAGCGGGCAGCACCGAGGGACCCCGAGGGAAGGCGGCAGCTGTAAGGCCACAGCGGATCTGCTCCGGCAGCGCCAGCATGGTCATGGGCGCAGACGCTGGCAGAGGCTGGGGGACGGAAGCAGGACTTTAGAAAGGGGCGGGGGGCTCATCAAGAGGCTTCCCTGCAGGCTGGGAGGGGTGCCCAGGAAGGCTCCGTCCGTCCGTCCGTCCGTCCGTCCGTCCGTAAGACCCAGCGCACCAGGACTGCTGGGCCCCGACACCAGGGGCCAGTGCTGGGCGCCCTGGGGGTTTCACACCAGCCCCAGAGCAGAGGCTCCAAACACATCAGGCCTTTAGCGACGACCTGCTAGTGGGGCCCTAGGAGTCGGGGTGCACGGCAGGGCTGGCCAGCCTTCCCTCGGGGCCACCAGCACGTAATGTGTGAGCTCTGTGCTCTGTTACACCGCTCGGCCCGCTGTTTCACACAGGCCTCATGGACAACACGTGAGGTGAGCCATGGCTGAGTTCTGACAAAGCCTCATTTACGGAAGCAGGCAGCCAGCCACGGCCACGCGGACCAGTGCGGACAAAGAGGCCCATTCTCACGGGGTACAGTTCAGTCCGTTTCAGGGAAGACACCCCGGGCAGGACCCACAGGCCAGGGGCAGCTGTGAGGAGGAGAGGCCCTAGTGCTGGCCCCCGAGGGCAGCCTGTACGTGCAGAGGATGGGAAAGAGCTGAGCAGCTCCCATCGCCTGTCAACTCAACGTTATCCTCTGGGATCCACCTACATGTTCCTTTTATGTTTTCATTGACTTTTTAGAGAGAGAGGCAGGGAGAGGGAGATGGAAACATCGATGGGAGAGGAACGTCGCCCATCAGCTGCCTCCTGCATGCCCCCTGCTGGGGGATCAAGCCTGCCACCCAGGCATGTGCCCTGACCAGGAACCCCACTGTGACCTCCTGGTTCATGGGTTGGTGCTCAATCACTGAGCCACATCGGCCTGGCTAAATATTCTTGACTCTTCCATTCCTGTCTCTATCCACGTCACGGCAGCGTTTTCCCTACCAGTGTAGCTTTGTATTCATCTGCAAGCTGTATGTACAGTATGGAGTTTCCTCAAAAAATTAAATATGGAACTGCCATTTGACCCAGTGAGCCCACTCCTAGGAATATAGCTAAGAAACCAGAAACACCGATCAGAAAGGATATATGCACCCCTATGTTCACAGCAGCGTAATTTACAGTAGCCAAGATCTGGAAACAGCCCGAGTGCCATCAGTCATGAGTGGATAGAAAGCTGTGGCACGTCTACACCAGGGAATGCGATGCAGCTGTGATGAAGGAACCCTGAGCCGCTGGGACAGCACGGAGGCCTGGAGAGCAGGATGCTGGGCGAAGTAATGCATCACATGATCTCACGCACACGTGGGGTCCCATGAACACAATAAACTGAAGAACAGAACAGAAACAGGCATGGCCCCGGGGCAGACAGACCAATCTCAGAGGGCAGGTGGGCGCAGCGGACAGGAAGAGATCAGCCAAAGACCTGACACAGGCATTGCCCGTCCTTCAGCACAGCTAACAGTGGGGGCAGGCGGCAGGTGGTGGGAGGGGAAGCCAGGGGACACTTCAATACTGTCAGCAATAAAGATGCACATAGAAGCAGCGTTGGAAGGGACAGAGCTGGTTGGCCCCCCCAGGCCCGCCACCTTGGCTGAAGGACTGCGGCGCTGAAGGCGGGTAGCCTCTGCTTTCCCTGGTTCTCCAGCATCAGGCGCCCGTTCCCTTTTGTGAAGGGTCCCCTTTCTTAGACCTGAGCAAACCTCACTAGACCCACGGCCGACAGCCTTTCAGGCCTCATGGCCACCAGTGGTCCGCAGACCCCCAGCTGGCAGGCGCTGCACTAAACCACCCTATTTATTACACGTTTCTGGTCACCTTCCCACAGCACCCCTTCCCCCGCCCCCCAGCCCAGACCCCTTTTCCGAGCCTCTTCACACTTGATCCTGTTTGTAGGATGGCATGTAAGTCCTTCCCTCTGTGACCCCCAGGCATAAATAGGTAATTCAGTGGGTTTTCCTGTTAATCTATCATCAGCTTGATCTGCAGGCCCAGCAATGAATCTAGAAGGGTAGAGGAAGGGTTTTGCCCCTTCTCTACAAACTCAAGATCAGTCTCTATGTTATGTAGTAAAACCGCTTCAAACATTTTAGAACGAGTGGAGGCGTAAATAATAAATGAAAAGAGTGCTAAGCGCTGAGCACAGAATTCAGTCCCAGGCAGAGCACAGACAACGCTGGAGACTTGGAAGAGCCATTACTCTTCTGTGGAGGCATGAGAACAGTGTCCAAACCACGTAGACTCTCGGCCAAAGGACCACGAGTTCAGGAAGTTCGCTATTTAAAATTTAACAATTCTTTTGTGATACACACCCCCCAGGCCTAAGGGGCATCTAGAGTTCCTGCTCCGTGGCTGATGGTGCAGTAGTTTGGGGTGTGAGGGGGAGCAGAGGTACATTTAATTTAAACATTGTACAGCCCTGCTTCTTATCTGTTGGATTTCTCACTAATCCAAAGACATTTCCTTACACAGCCGGTTCCTTCTCCTAGGGTTCCCTTCTCCTAGCCTTCCCGTGTGCGGAAACACACCACTGCCCCTTTGCTCCACCAGCACCCTTTCCCCCTCTTCCCTGCCTAAACCAAATGTGCACACCTTCCAGGCTACGGGAAGCCCACCTCCTCCAGGCAGACTTCCTGCGATTCCTCAACCGATTCCTCAACCGTACTCGGAATCCTCCTAATCAGATACCCAGGCTATTTAAGTCTATTTAACGTATAAATGCTGTCTCCCCAAATGAGATGAAAGGTTCCTCAAGGGCAGCAGTCCTTTCTCCTATTTGCACA